TGTCAGTCTTTGTCATTGTACTCAGCATTTCATATTCAGCCTTTAGGAGTATTTCCCCAGTTATTAAAGTCCACTTAATATGTTGGTTAGATTTCTTAAGGTGTAAGCCTATGAAGAGCATAGTTTTGAGTTAATTCTACTGGAAGTTATATAAAAATATAACATTGTGTTTCTCACAGAAGACCCCATAAACTTTACAAATAAAATTTTAACAGTTACATCTTAATTTGGACCATATTTTGTGATCCCTTTCACAGCTAATTGGAGTAAGAAATAAGACTTCATTGCATTTCCTAGACATTTGACACTTAAGACTAGGCAGATTTGCCTGTGTTTAACTTTGATTAGCCTATGTCTAATTTCAACTTGGATAGTTTTGAAATACTTAAAACAATTTTGCTATTTGAAAAAAAATTTTTTGCTGATACTTCATATAAAAGTTTCTTATCCTCTGGTTACTATTTATTGATGAATATTCTTTTTGTTTCTACTCCCACCAAGGAAAAATTACAAAGATTTGATAAGTGAAGCAAAATTTGATTAACCAGTTAATTTCTTTGCCTTCGAAATTAATTTTATCTTCAATTTTCTTTTTCTTTCTTTCTTTCTTTTTTTTTTTTTTTTTTTTGAGACAGTGTCTCGCTCTGTAGGCCAGGCTGGAGTGCAGTGGCACGATCTCAGCTCACTGCAACCTCCACCTCCCAGACTCAAGCACTTCTCCTGCCTCAGCCTCCCAAGTAGCTGGGATTACGGGCACGTGCCACCATGCCCTGCTAATTTTTGTGTTTTTTTTAGTAAAGACTAAAAAAAACCATGTTGGCCAGGCTGGTCTGGAACTCCTGACCTCAGGTAATCCGCCCGCCTCGGCCTCCCAAAGTGCTGGGTTTACAGACGTGAGCCACCATGCCCAGCCGTATCTCCAATTTTCTAGATGACTGAATAAATCAATTTTAGGTTGTAGATTTATGAGGGCAGTTGTTAAAAAAAGGTATCTTTCAAAATGACCTTTTTGAAAGGGATTACTAAATTTTATATGTATCACTGTGTTTGGCTGAATGATTGTGGTATGTTGATTTAAAAACAAACAAACAAATACTGATTCAAGCCAGGCTTCTTTTTTAGAAAATCTTATTTGGGTATCAGTGTGGTTTTGGTGTAGCCTAGTGAGTTTCTGTTTAGATGGAAACTTCAGAACTCTGCATTCTAATGGCGCAGGCCACTGGCTGGGTTGCCTGACTGACTGTAGAAGTGAACCCTGAGTGTCCTGTTTTAAGTTTCTGAAGTTGATGAACTCTGCCTGGGGACATCTATATAGGCTGAAGTTGGTGAACTCTGCCTGGTGGGAGAGTTTGTAAAGGCCTACACTAGGAATATGATTGTAAGATTAATGAAACCATTTGGTAATTGCTTACTTCTAAATTTTTTGTACTTTGTTAAAAAGAAAGAAAAAAGACTTCCCCAGAATACAAAAATATTGTTTTGCATTTCACTGTTTTTCTATTGTTTTTGTTTTTAATTCGTTTTCAACTGAGAACATGCATTACATTGGCTGGTTGAGCATTTACTTGGTGTATGTTTTAATGGATCCTTATCCTTAGCAAAAATTTAATTCTAGTTATTAATCTGTCATTTAGCTTCTGTGACCTTGCCTATGTAAATACAGTTAACATCAGCTTTATCTACCTCAGTCATTGTTTGTTGAAGGAGCGTGTGAAATAACAAAAGTGAGAGCATTTATGTTTGTATGGTGGGTATTGGTTCCTTCTGCTTTCTCTACATGGAAAAGTGATTGTCATTTCTATGGTAGGCTTATTTTTAGGCCTATTGTCTTCATCCCTTAAATATTGGAAATCTTTGTAAATTCTCACTCATACTTAAAGCAAAGAACTTACGTACCATGTGGTACTTGTTTTTTTTTTTTTTTTTTTTTTTTTTTTTAGTGTGTGTGGGATTCAGAAATTGATAATAATGAATATTCAAGAAGGTACTTCAGTTTTTGTATTCTTGACATAAATAATGAAAAGAAAATACAAGATCTGTCCTCATTTTGGTAACTTATTAGTTGGCAAGGGAAATTGTTACAGTTTTTGCTTTTTAAGAAATAGTATCTTCTGGATTGAGAGTGGGAAAAGCAGTAACTATTGAGAGTCCCATGATAAGTGTTAACTTTTGTTTGCAACAGTTTACTTTTGGTTAGTCAGAGGTGGGAAGAATATTTTCCTTCCTGACTTGGAGCTCAAACTTGAAAGCATTTTCAGGGTACTATTGTATTAGAAACATTTTACAGATGAAAAATTACTGTATGGAGAAAATGGCTGAGTTAAATACTGTGAGAAAGTATATACTGCTAATTTTATTCAATATCCTCCCCACCACACCTGTAATATTTGCATAACTTTGGTTTTACATTTGGTCTGTTCTGGATTCGTAATCTCAGTGTGAATTCTTACTTCATTTTTCCTGTTTTATTATGTGTGAAGAATTTTTTTTTTTTTTTTTTGAGCTTCTGGAGGTATCCTTCAGAATAACTCCAGTTTTTCTGTGATCAATACTAAAGCATACTATAGTTTTTAATAAGCATTATAGTAAAAACCTTCATTTATTAGATCCTCTTTTAATTTGAAATTTGAAAATTTGCACATGTATTGGGCTTAGCTTTGTTTTTCAACCTTTTGGGAACAGCAGGTTGTACAGATAGTTGTAAGATGTTGATTTAACTTTTAAGGACACAATCTTGGATGCTTTTTAAAAAAGCATGTTAAGAGTACCCATATGCATACCAAAATGAATGTCTTAAAAAATGTGACTGATCATTGTATTTGAGGCACTGTTCTATAGGTCTTTGGGGATAGAGTTGAGAACAAAAAAGTCCTGCCCACATGGAACTTAACAACGTTTTAATTGAGAGAGAAAGACATTAAATAAATTAAGATGAGTTTGATGGTAATAAATACTTTGGAGAGAAATAAGCAGAGTAAGGGGGACAATGAGGGTTTAGAGGTAGGGGAATGCCCAAGGCTCTGTTATTTTGCGTATTCAGGGAAGTTTATCTAATATGGTGACACTTTAGCAAATATCTATGAAAGTGACGGGAGCAAGCAGCATAGGTATCTAGCAGAAGAGAATTCTAGGCAGAAGGAACAACAGTACCAAACACCTGAATAATAGTGCTTGGCATATGGGAGGCATTGCAAAGAAGATGGCAGTGATGCAGTGGGAGGAAGAACAGGTCACAAAGGGAATATAGTATGGATATATGTATGTATACATACACATACGTTTTGTAAATATATAGTACAGTATATATACACACACATCATGCGCCATGCAGTATATAGTATTAAATTGTGTGTGTGTATGTGTATCAAGTACTGTCATTGAAACTGAAGTCTAGTGTAATATGTTCAGTGCCATAGGCCGGTTATAAAGTGCTATGAAAATCTAGAGAAGGCAGAGATTAAATTCCATTTTTTACTCTCAGAAGTTGAAGCATGCATATTCAAGTTGGATTTACTGTTTCATTTTTGTTGCAAATAGTCTGAATTGTGAAAGCGTTGTGTCATTCTGCTGTTCCACGGGCACTCTGTTTGACTGCTTTGTTCTTTGTTCTTTAAGCAATATTGGCCATGGTAGCTGCTTATCTAAAATGCATGTGTTTATCAAATATTAGCTTGTATAATAATTGGACCTAGTAAAGGAAAAATTTTAAGTAAACGTTCATAGTTACATTGTCATTTCTTACTAGCCATCAAGGCCAAGTTAGATCATTTGAATTCATATTTAATCATTATACAATCAAGATTAAAAGTGAACAAATTAATGAGTCATGAATAACTTTTTTCCCTTTATTGTAGTTATAGCTGAGACATTTATACATTATATTTTATATGTATTTTAAAAGTAAGACAACTCATTTCTTGGTTTTCTCCTCTGTTATCTCTCTAAATTGGATTATATTATATTACATTTTTTTTATTGAGGCGGAGTCTCACTCTGTCCCCCAGGCTGGAGTGCACTGGTACTGTCTTCGCTCAGTGCAACCTCCGCCTCCCAGGTTCAAGCAATTCTCCTACCTCAGCCTCCTGAGTAGCTGGGATTACCCATGCCCGCCACCAAGCCCAGCTAATTTTTTTGATATTATTAGTAAAGATGGGGTTTCAGCATGTTAGCCAGGCTGGTCTCGAACTCCTGACCTCAGGTGATACACACCCCCCCCCCACCAGCTTCCCAAAGTACTGGGATTACAGAGGTGAGCCACCGCACCCATCCTATTTTACATTTTTTTCATTGAGTTTACCAATAGTGTCTCTTAAACAGATTGTAGGTTACTCTTCTTAAGTTTTATTAAGAATCTTTTTTCCAGTTTTGTTCTCAGTATTAACCTAGTTATCAACCGATCTGAGCTAATTCAATAGAACTGAGGGGAGAGAAGGAGGATAAATATTTTGTATGAACAAACTGAGATCCAACTCAATTACAGACCAGAGCTCTGCCCTGTTATCTTCCTGTTGCAAAGACAGCATTCTAGGGTGGATGTTCATAAAGGTAGTTTGATCTTCATGTTGTTCATTCTTCTGTATGGATGATTTCTTTAAATAAGCTTTATTTAAAGAAAAATGTTAAATTTTAAAGAGATGAATAATACCAGTAATTTAACGGAGAGTTTTTAAGTAGTAAGGAAATGGAAGCTTCCTCAAAAACCTTGCAGCAATTCATTTTGAGATGACCAAAGTACTTGAGAGTTAATTATATCCTGAGGGAGTTTGATTTATTTTTTGGTATTGTCGATCATTTATGTGATTCTAGTTGGTACCCTGCTTCCTAGGTAGATTATGGTAGTCTCTATTGCTCTTAATTGAGAGATTTTTAACAACATCTCCAAACTGTCTATTGCTGCTCCACTTTGTGTTAAATCTTTTGCCTGTTTGTATGCAAATCTCGTATTACCAATAAATTAAAACCAGAGAGGAAATTAATCATTTAAAAATTTTTTATTGCAGACTTAATTCAGTGCACAAATGAGATGAATGTGAACATCCCACAGTTGGCAGACAGTTTATTTGAAAGAACTACTAACAGTAGTTGGGTGGTGGTCTTCAAATCTCTCATTACGACTCATCATTTGATGGTGTATGGAAATGAGGTAAGCAGAATTTTTAATGAACAAGTATACTGATGTGTTGACTTATTGTTAGCTAGCTTCTCTCACTGAAACTTCAGAAACAGCTTCCAGGTACAAAGGGCAAGATACCTAGCCAGAAATATAGTTATAGACCCTGCAATCTGAGGAAAGATAGCCTATAAACCAGAAAGCAAAAAGTGGGTCAGAGCACAGAGGACATCAATAATGGATCAAGAAGCAAAGATTAATGCCTGGAAATGGGTTCCATAAACATCCCTGGTTTTTACTGGTCCTGTTTATAGACTATATATTTGTCTATATCCATTTGTTCTTTTATTGTAGCCCAGTTAGAATTTTTTTTTTTTTTTTTAGACGGGGTCTTGCTTTGTTGCCCAGGCTGAAGTGCAGTGGTACCATCATAGCTCACTGCTACCTCAAATTCCTGGACTCAAGGGACCTTCCCTCCTCAGCCTCCCACGTAGCTGGGATTACAAGTGTGTGCCACTATACCAGGCTTATTTTTAAATTTTTTTTGTAGAGATGGGGGTCTTTCCATCTTGGCTTAGGCTGGTCTTGAAGTTCTGGGCTCAAGTGATCCTCCCACCTTCGCCTCCCAAAGTGCTGGGATTACAGGCGTAAGCCATCACACCCAGCTTTAGATTCTCGTCTGATCTCATGTAGTTGTTTGTGGAAGCACTTTGCCTACTTCAAAGCTGTGTATTTAGGACTAAGATGGCATTTGCTGAGAGGGACTGATTGAAGAGTGCCTTCTTCAGCAGAGAGGTGTGTCTGAAGCCGTTGTTGCCTAAAAGGGTAACAAATAAGATACATAAACTTTTGCAATTCTCTGTTTTGAGAGAATTGTCTTACTTTCCATGATAGCCTAGCAGTTTTGGTTCATTTTCTCAGCTCAATAAACTTATTTGTAAAATTGTATTAATAGGAGCTTTTCAAGAACATCTGAGTAGAACTAGATAAATCTTCATTGGTATGTGCCTTAGAAAAATGCAGTCTACAAGGATAACCCTCTAGAGATGAGAAGAGCTTTAGTCATTGTTACTAGTTTTCGGAGCGTCATGACTTACTGACATCCATCACGTCATGTGTTATTGTGGGCTTTTCAGTATTGAAACTATTTTTTGACAACTACCAATATAGCATTATTAAAGTTCAAAATTAAAGCAGGAATTTACCCACAACTTTATTATTCCAACGCATCTTACTATTGGCACATTTTGGTCTTCCCTCTGGTTCTTGTCCAAAAGTATTTGTGTTTTTTAAATGGCTATAATCATAATGTAGATAAAATATATTTAGCTTTTTATATAATATCACACTGTCAACATCACCATGTTGTATTTTTTTATCATCTTTAATAACTGTGTAATTGATCCTATAGTTCACAAGTTTTAAACTATTTTCCTTGCTAGAAATTTAGTTTTCTGATTCATTGTTATACCACCACATTGAGTGGTTTTATATTTGTAGTTTTTAATTTTTTAAAATTATTTCCCCTAAGTGTTACCTGAAATGTGATTACTAAGTCAACAGACATGACCGTTTTTAGGACTTACATTAGTTGCTTTCTAATACATCATAACCAGTTTATAGAGCTAATAGAAATGTTTGGCTATATTAGCTTAAATGTAACTTGAAACATCTTAACTAGGGTAATAGTTTTTACTTGTGGCAGGAATATGTTTAGTTAAGATTATGATTTTTCTGAAGAATTCCAAACGTGTATGTACTTTTCTTCTTATCCTTCTTTATTTATTTGATATAGTATATTTTTTAAAAAGAAAAAGCCACAAATATAACCAGCTACACTGCCAGATAAAGTATCAATAATGGCTCTCAGAGGCTGTAAATAAGGTAATTGATAGTACTAGAGGCAAAATGTTAGTAAAGACAAAACAGAAAGTTGACAGTCATTTCGTAGAATTGATTGACAAGGGGAGAAAGATAGCATTTTAGTGTTTTTTTGATAAACTCATGTTTAGCTTCCTCTAGGTAGTTAAAGCAAATTCCATGCTCTGTTCATTTTTTATGCTAATTGGTACAACCTTCAGGTGTTCCCATTGGCAGATGCCATTAATTTGTTAGAGGCTGTACATAGGATTTCACTATGCTGTGGTGACTGGAATACCATGGAGTGGTGGTTCTCAAAACTGAGTGGGGAAGGGGAATGATTTTTTTTTCCCTTAGAGGACATTTATCACAACTGAAGGGGGTTGCTACTGGTATCTAGTAGGTAAAGGCCGGAACTGCTTCAAAATAGCATATAATAATGCACAGAATAGACTGGGTGCGGTGGTTCATGCCTGTAATCCCAGCACTTTGGATGGCCGAGGTGGGCAGATCACCTGAGGTCCGGAGTTTGAGACCAGTGTGACCAACATGGTGAAACCCTGTCTCTACTAAAAAATACATAAATTAGCCAGGCGTGGTGTCGCGCGCCTGTAATCCCAGCTACTCAGGAGGCTGAGGCAGGAGAATCACTTAAACCCGGGAAGCAGAGGTTGCAGTGAGCGAGATTGCGCCATTGCATTCCAGCCTGGGCAACAGAGCAAGAGACTCCGTCTCAAAAAAAAAAAAAAAAAGAAAAAAAAAGTAAAAGTAACGTGCAGAACAGTCCCCAACAACAAGGAATTATCTGATTCAGTGTCAGAGTGCTCAGGTTGAGAAACCTGGCCACGGAGAAGAAATCTCAAAAGGTTAAGGCTGGGTGAGCATTGTGTTATAGACCCTTGACACCAGGCAAGTAGGTACTTCTATACCGTTGTTCAGTTACCAACTGGGTGACTTGGGTAAGTCACTTCTGGACCTTCCTCAATAATATGATAGTATCTTCATGGTAAATAGAATTGACCAAGGCTTTTATTGTAGTATGAAAAGTTATAGGTGATTAATACATGAAAATGTGGAGTTAAAAATTTGTAGATGAAATTAGAAAAAGACGTATAGAACCAAGCATGGATTTTTTATAAAGTATTTAATACCATTTTGGGTAAAATATTCTGAAATATGTTCTTTAAATATTTTGTTATGAAAAGTTTCTAATATACACAGTAGTAGAGTGAATGGTATAACAAATGCTTATGTACCTAATCACCCATCTTCCACATTGCCGTTCTTTAAATGAAGTTTTAGGATAATCCATTTCAGGTTACCACTTATGACCCAAAATGGGAACCTATGAAGCCTTATTACTTGCCAGATTGTTGGCATGGTGCTCAATTTAATACCATTTTGAATAGCATTAGGATGCTGTTGAAACCAAAACCACAACTTGATTAAAGCCATATATGTCTTAAAGGTAGAAAGGACTAATAAAATGAAAAGGAAAATTTAGATTTATTATCTCTAAAATCATGAATGAAATGGCTTGGTAGACTAAATTATTTACATTAATTTAGAATGCAGAGGTAAAGAAGAGTCTTATCAAAATCTATTAAAATCATAGTCTAATATTGTCTTATGATATTTTTATAACTTTTTGAAACACTGTTTTAGGATAATTGTGAAATATGAGTCTTCAGTTTACAAATTGGTTTTCAAAATCCTGGTTTGTTAGTTTGGGGTGGTCTCAGTTGAACAAGACCGATTTGGGGGCCGGGCACAGTGGCTCACACCTGTAATCCTGACACTTTGAGGGGCCAAGGCGGGAGGATTGCTTGCGTCCAAGAGTTCCAGACCAGCCTAGGCAGTGTAGTAAGGTGTTGTCTCTACAGAAAATTAAAAACGAAATGTGATCTGGACATGTGCATGCCTGTAGTCCCAGCTACTTGGGGGCGAGGGTGAAGAGTGAATGGTGGGTGGTGCTTCGTGCTGAGATGGTAGGATTGCTTGAGATCAGGAGGGTGGAAAGCTGTGATCACACCACTGTACTCCAGCTTGGACGACAGAGCAAGACCCTGTCTCAAAAAAGAAAAAAAAAAAAGGACTGATTTCGGAGGTGATGGTGTACATCCTAGTTGATGATTAGCCTCTGCATGCATTAAAAAAACGAAGAAGAAAGTAAAGGAATCCTAAGAAGTGAAATTGAAAGGCATTTCTTTAGCTGTTTAGAGGCTGTATGTGAAGGAGACTAATGTTATTTACTATGGTAAGCAGCACTTCAGAGAGCATTTTGGCAATATTGAGAAGATGAACTTTTACATATGTGCTGGCCTAATAATTCATCCCTAAGTATATATCCTGATAAATGAATATACTTATGCATAGAGACCAAGAACAAAGATGTCAATACAACTTTGTTAATAATAGCGAAAATTAGAAAGTATATCCATGCTAAATAAATGGATTTATAATGATGTATTCATTGGAATATTAGAATATCATTTAAAATGAAATGTTAAGTGGGGTAATTCTTAGGGAAAGGTTGAGTTAAAGCACATTGCAGAGTAAGTACACTATGATACTTGTGTAAATTTAAAATAGAAAGCAATTGGATAGTTTATAGATACTTGTATATCTAATAAAATGGTGAAAACTTGTGTGAAAGTAATGTGTACCTGTTTCAGAAAAGTACTCACCTCTGAAGAGGGAGGGAAGGGAGATTGAAGGTGTGGGTCTTCAATGGAGGCTATAATGTTTTGATTTTATATAAGATCTGAAGTGAGCATGTGGATTTGTTTAATCTGGACAGTGGGTAAGAGGATCTCTGTTGCTTTCTTGTATGTTTAGAAGTATTTTGGTTTTTTTTAAAAGCCAAAACTTTGGTATACCAGATGGCTATTTAAAATACAGATGCCACCTAGAAATGATTAGCCATAGTTTTAGTATGCTGTAATAAAACCCAAACTACTGGTTCCACTGCCTATTTGCTTTTATTATTTTGGCTTAATACTATAATATATCTGTGGGAATTAGGTTGTAATAAATTCTCGCATGCTAGTGAAAAATATGTATTATGTTTTTAGGTTTGGTAACTAGTTAATGGGAGGAGTAGTGAGGATGAGAAATTTAAACTAGATAAGCTTAATGGAATGCGTTAACCGTAACTTTTCCTCCTAATTTTTGAATTAAGAGTTTGTGAGATGGCAGTACCTTAATATGATGTAATTATTTTTTTTTCCAGCGTTTTATTCAGTATTTGGCTTCAAGAAACACGTTGTTTAACTTAAGCAATTTTTTGGATAAAAGTGGATTGCAAGGTAAACATAACTTTTTCATTATAGAAAATCAAAAGAATGACACCCACATGATGATTACTCTGGAGTAGAACTCTGTCTTTTAGAACATGTGCTACTTTAAACCTTATATCTTAGTGAAGGTTGTAGGAAAGAAAAAACTGTCTTTTAATTTGAATTAATATTTATTTGCCTACCAGATACTCAGAGCTCTCTGAGAGGTAGTACAGAGTAGTTATTTGAGAGCATGAATTCCGGAGCTGGACTGTCTGGGTTTGAATCTCATCTTTGCAACCTACCAGCTATGTGAACTTGGGCAGGTTACTTCACCTCTGCATCAGTAGAATCGAGTAATAGTGATAGTACCTACCCAATAACATTGTCGTGAGACTTAACCTAGTTAATTACTACAAAGTGCTTAGAACAGTGCCTGGCACATAAGACATGCTGTGTAAGGCCAGGTACGGTGGCTCATGCCTGTAATCCCAGCACTTTGGGAGGCTGAGGCGGGTGGGTCACTTGAGGTCAAGTGTTCAAGACCAGCCTGGCCAACATGGTGAAACCCCATCTCTACTGAAAATACAAAAATTAGCCAGGGTTGGTGGTGCACGCCTGTAATCCCAGCTACTCAGGAGGCTGAGTCAGGAGAATCACTTGAACCCAGGAGGCGAAGGTTGCAGTGAGCCAAGATCATGCCACTGCGCTTCAGCCTGGGTGACAAAGCTAGACGCTGTCTCAAAAAAACAAACAAACAAAAAAGAAATGCTGTGTAAATATTTGCTTTCATTGTTATCGTATTATTTTATGTTTCATTCCAAGAAATGTAGTTGGAATATTACATGTTTTAGTAGCTAAAGTAAATATAATTTATTAAGATGAATTGTTCATTTATATTCTTTTTTTCGTATTCATTCATAAGCTGTTTTCTTTTCTTTTCTTTT